ACTGGAATTTAAAATGGCATAAAATTAAAGTGGAACTTCTCTTCCTCAAAACGAGGGTGACAGTGACCCTCCATCCTCTCCTTTTCATCATTGCTTGCTCATGCTCTTGCTCCCCACCATGAAGTTGTTCACCTTGATCTCCTTGATCTCCACCCCCTCCAAAAAATATAGGACTGTCCCCAGGCCACTTCAGATGGTGGTGGTGGGGTTGGTGCATCTGGGATTTTATGAGTGGCTTTAGAGCTTCCGCTTGAACCGCCACCTCTTGAACAAACTATCTGAAAATTTTACAACCAATTCTTGCAACCAAGTTAGTCTACAAGTTGATCATACAAACAAAACACAATTCTTCATGGGGCATAAGGAATGATCAATAAACATTCTAACATGTGAAGCACTAAAGTTATTTCAAAGCCACCAATGAACAAGCAAATATTTCCTACTAGCTCCCATGATCAACCAACCACAATGATTTTACACTTTAAATAAAGAACACAAATTCACTCAAGCATTTAACCAAACACGTGGTGTACATGAGAAAGAAAAGCAAAATGCATGTGAATTCTTGCCATGCAAGGTTTACATTTCTTCACAAAAATGAAACATTTCAGTGATCACCTTTTTCAAAGCTTTCATTGTGTTCAAATCAAATACTTTTCTCATTCAGGAAGTTCTTCAAACACAAAATAGGCAGAAAATGAGAAGGATCATGCATGTGCAATATTGAAGAATCAAACACCCAAATTCAAGCATTGCATTCCACAAGTGAACTACATCACAACTGATGCCATCATCATGCTTTAAAGAACTCAAAAAGTAACAAAATCATGCTTAAGGTTCAAAAGAGTTGAAAAGAGCAAGCAAATGTTTCATGCAATGTAGACAAAGGTAGAAAGATGGAGACTTTACCTTGACACCCAAATAAAAGGTGAGTGCTTTGATGTTTAAGTGTGTGGTGAATGATGAAAAATGCAAGATTTATAAAGAAGAAGTGAATGGGAAAGGAAAGATGTGGGGAGAATAGAGATTGCACGAGAGAAACGAGAGTGAAAATGAAGAGGGAAAGGGTCAGTTTTGAAACTGACTGAAACTGTTCCAACTTATCTCATTTAAAGTTGCTTCGAGCCCCACAGCCATGGCTGCCAATTGAGCATTCAGCTATGGATATTTAAAAGGGTGAAAAGCCTAGGCTGAAAGTCAGCGCCATGGCTGTGACACTAGCGCTAGAGCGGTGAAGATTTTTTTTGAATTTAAAGGAGAGTTCCAGGAAGTTGGCGCTAGAATTGACGCTGAAGCTCTGGAGGTTTTGTATGCATCAGGTTTTTGGCAGGGAGTTAGCGCCTTGGCTGTGGGCCTGGCGCTGGAGCGTGGAGTGATTCAACATGCAACTGGGCTAAAACAGAAACCTGGCGCCATGGCTCTAGAGCTGGAGCTTTAGCTTTAGAAGTTCAGCACTTAAACACCTTGTGTCCGAGATTGGGCGCTATGGCTGTGAAGACTGGCGCTACAACACTGGGAATTGAGTTTCAAGTGGGGTTCCAAGAAAAGAGCTCAATTTGGCGCTCTAGCTGTGGAAGCTAGCGCTTGAGCGTTGAGAATTAAATATGCAATTTGTGCCAAGACAGCAAGTTGGCGCTAAGGCCGTGAGTGGGGCGCTGCAGCTGTGGAATTTTTTCCACATGAGAGTCCCTGGCAGCAAGTTGGCGCTAAGGCCGTGATGCCAGCGCTGCAACGCCAAGACTTAGAATTTGATTTTCTAAGTTATACAAATATCACATGACACATTATTTCACTTCACATGTTTTATGTGTCAACCATGTTTAGACCACATGATAATATTATACCATATCGACACTTTCATTAAAGAAAATAGAGCACATTTAATATAGGGATAAATGAGTTATAGATTGCAATTTTGGAGACTTTTTTTTTTTTGAATTTCATTAAATTAAAGGACTAAAATAAGAAAGAGTGACAATTTCAAAGATTGAATTGGTCATTTACCCTTACTTAAATAATAGATAATAATAAAATACTTTAAAAAATTTTGGAAAATTTCAAAAGATTATAAATACAACGAGAGGTCAAACATGATTGAGACGAAAAATTGATAAATAATAAAAATTTATATTATATGGATATTTTAAATAAATAAATAGGTTTTATAATTATATTAAAGATTTTTTTAAATGGCTATGATTACTTTTATTAATTAAAGAAAGATTTATAAAGTTATTTGTTATTATTAGGTATATTATTATATTTTATCTAACATATTTTGATTAGATATTATGACTTGATTATTTTATAGATTTTAAAAACAAGAATATTTTAAGATAAGAAAAATAAAGATTTTAAAATTATATTATTCGAAGAGATATTGTCCTATGTATTTAAAGAAAAATAAAGATTTTAAAATTATTTATTTGAAAAGATATTGTCTTATATATTTAAAGGAAAATAAAGATCTTGAAATTATTTGTTTGAAAAGATATTATCTTCTGTATTTATATATAATATTTTGAATGGATTAATTGGGTTAGTATTATATTCTGAGTGATATTTCGAAATAATAATAGTTATTATTTACTTATTTTCAAAATAGTGAGAAATAATTAATTAGGATAATAATATATTTTGAGAGATATTTTAAGATAATAGTTTATTATCTATTATTTCAAAGATATATTTAATTGTTTTGATAAATTATAAATGTCATACTAGAGTTAGGGTTACTTCACTTTACATTATCATTAACTTGTGTGTGTTGCCTGTGGAGAATAGGAAGAAGAGACAGAGCTCATAGGAGAACATCTCGGAGATTCATGTCTTTCATCAAGCTTTCATCAAGGTAAGAAGGAAGTGAGTAGTCTGACTTTGGTTGTGGGATATATGTTGAGTAATGTGATTGACCCCAATCCCTTCTCTATTTCTTGTATTGTATGAAGGGGTTTTTTCCAATGAATTGCATTGTGTTTTTTTTTGTCTTCTATAGGACTTTTTGTTGTTCTATTTGATATTGTATAGTTGTATATGTCTCCCATTTCATGATTGGACCTATAATTGTAAAGTTTAGATTATTTGTGGCTTCCTGTGGAAACCCTAAATGGTTATTGTGTGAGTAGTTAATAGGAATATGTAATTAGAACATGAAATTGATGTTCGATTTGAATAATTGTTGATATAATAGAGTAGTAGTAAGCTTTAATTGTGATTTTTACTGATTGGATTGGAAGAGAGAGTTTGGATATGAGTTGTGTCAGATTCTAAAAATTCTAGTATAAACATACCTTGGTATTTATCTAATTTCTTAACTAATGAAATTGATTTCTGATTGTTGAGTTAGGAAATAGACATTTAAAGATATAATTTAGACTCAAAAATCACTTAAAAATGTTAAGCAATTTATGTGAGTTAAAAGATAAACCTTTTATTTTGTAGGCGAAATGAAATATGTGTATGTTGAGTCTTTCAAATAGACTTAAATGACAAATTAAGTTTTATAATCTATATAAAAGTTGTAGCTTTAGATGTTAGATTTCAAATAACATTAGAATCACTTAAAAAAGAGGTATAAAACTAAAATTATGATCAAATTAGTGAATGGAGGTCAAATTGTCAAGTTTAGGTTGAAACGTGATAGAAATTAGAGATAATTGTCTTATCTTTTTAATAAAATTCTTTTGGTAAGGATATGAAAGATTACAAAAATGGTCACATGAGAATTTAACATAAGTCCTCATATATTAGAACCACCTTCCCACTTCTTGTTGTTATGGCTTGGCAATACTCTTTGGGGTTGGTCTTGGTGTTGGCTAAAAATGGGCCTTTAGACATGTCAGTTAATTGCTTAGCTAGCTGACCCACCTGTACTTCTAAATTCTTGATGGAAGCTTCATTATTTTCTGGTTGTTCATAGACACCTACATGAACTGGTTTAGAGTCTCCTCCAATTTGTTGGTTCTTTCATGCATAGAAGGATAAGCAGGCTGATGTTGCTGTTGTTGTTGTGGTGGTGGCCTATTGGATGGTCCAACTTCATTCCTCCATCCATATCCTTGGTTGTTGTTGTTGTTCCAACCCAGCTCTGGAAATAATGTCTCAACTTCCTCGCGATAACTAGTATCGCAAGGGCTAATTTTTCAATCTTCTGGTACCTCGTCTTCGCTCCCTGTAAGACCCTGCTCACGAAGTAAATAGGAACTTGAGAAGCTTCCTGCTCTTGTACAAGAACCGAACTGACTGCTCGGTTGGATGCAGATATGTAAACCAACAAAGGGAGGTTCGGTCGTGGTTTTGTCAAAATCGGCGGCGATGCCAGTGACCTCTTGAGTTCCGCGAAAGCTTCTTCACACTCGGTCGTCCATGTGAAACGATCATTCTTCTTCAGAAATTGGAAAAACGATAACACCTTATCAGCTGATCTTGACAGAAAACGAGACAGAGGAGCCATCCTTCCCGCCAGTTGTTGAACCTCCTTCACCGTAGATGGGCTCCTCATATTGATGATGGCCGAGCACTTGTCGGGGTTTGTTTCGATGCCACGATGAGTTAGTAGAAAATCAAGGAATTTTCCTACTTGGACCCCAAACGAGCACTTTTCGGGATTCAATTTGAGTTGGTACTTGTCGATAGTGTCAAACAATTCTTGCAAGTCGTCAAAATGTCGATTGATGCTCGCCGACTTCACCACCATGTCGTCCACATAAGCTTCCACATTCCGACCCAACTGATTCACTAAAACCTTGTCCATCAGTCGTTGATAAGTCACACCCGCGTTCTTTAGGTCGAAAGGCATTACCCTGTAGCAAAAATTGGCTTGATCTACTATGAAGGCTGTCTTGTCTTCATCTGTTGAATGCATGCGGATCTGGTTGTACCCCGAGTAAGCATCCATGAAACTCAGTAATTCGTACCCTGACGCCCCATCAACCAAACAGTCTATGTTGGGTAGCGGGTACGAGTCCTTTGGGCAAGCTTTATTAAGATCGGTGTGGCGGTCGCAACAAACACGGCCGCGGCCACGTCAAATTCATTCGATGCTCCAACTGCGGCAAATGCTGCCCTAAGGTACTTTCATTTCACTTTCTTCCTCCCTCAATTTTATCAATTAGGCTTTTTCTGTTTTCTTAAAAAATAATCATAATCACAGGACAAGGCTATCAAGAGGTTTTTGGTGAGGAACATTGTTGAACAGGCTGCAGTCAGAGATGTGCAGGAAGCCTGTGTCTATGAACGTATTATTCTTCTTTACCTTTTTATTTCATTTTTCTTTAAAATTTCGCATCTTTTTATGTTATTTATTTGGTTTTCTGATTGTTATTTCGTAGAATACACTCTTCCCAAACTGTATGTGAAGATGCAGTACTGTGTTTCCTGTGCCATCCACTCTCATGTTGTGAGGGTTCGATCCCGCACTGACAGGAGGAAGCGTGATCCTCCACAGCGATTCATCAGGCGCAGGGTAACTTTATACACCCACTTTTCTTTTCTTTTTTCCTCTTTCCATTGTTCTATTTTTAATATAATTTGATCTTATATTATTTCGTGTTTTCTCCTTGTTACTGAATTGACCATAGTTTGGATACACTTGTGGCCTCACACGGATACACATTATGTGTTCCATTGTTTGAATGTTGTACAATTTGACACCGAACCTGATATTGTATCTAATTATCTGAGTTTGCATATGGTTCTTACTTAAAGTATTAAAAATTTTAGGAGGCAACTTGTTCTTTTGAACAGATTAAATCTTAAATAAGTTCCTTTTGTACAATCACTTTGATACACAAGAAACATTTTATATAGAAAAAACCAGCTTGCCTTGTTTTGTTCCTTGATAGAGGTCTATTATCCTCTGTACTAATTGGCCATTGATATTGATGTAAATAATCAATTTCATCTTTGAATTATTGCCCCGTATGGGAAGTTATTCTTTATGTTAAAAAGATACTATTTTAGTTGTTGTAAAAGTATTAGTAATCATGCTAAGTAGTCTCCAAATTTTAACCCCCCCAAGTTGGTTCCTAAACGACACTAGAATGCATCAACTTAAGGACTAAAATGTTGGATATTCAATACATCAGAGATTACTTAAGTTACTTAATTACTTTCTAGGCTTTCTACTTAGGAGAGATGGTAATATTTTTGAGGTGAAATTGGTATTTTTTTTTCTTGAGATTCTGGATGGAGAGCTGTATCAAAATTGTCTTTTTCTATTCTTACATTTCAGCTGTATGATTCAGAACTCTATACAAACAAACTTGTATTTGTTTCTCTATCTTGTTGGAAAATTGATATTCCAACTAGTTAATGGTAAAATAAAATTTATTGTTACAAAGGAGTTCATTTAAGATTTTGTTTACATTAGGAGAATGTGCTATATTTCTATGAATTGACTCTGATTATCTGTATGTAAAATTGTTAGCAATGATTAATATTTTTATGTATCTTTCTTCTGAATCACGAGTTTATGTGACACCTGTTCTTGTTTGACACTTATTCGTGGCGGTCGCAACAAACACGGCCGCGGCCACGTCAAATTCATTCGATGCTCCAACTGCGGCAAATGCTGCCCTAAGGTACTTTCATTTCACTTTCTTCCTCCCTCAATTTTATCAATTAGGCTTTTTCTGCTTTCTTAAAAGATAATCATAATCACAGGACAAGGCTATCAAGAGGTTTTTGGTGAGGAACATTGTTGAACAGGCTGCAGTCAGAGATGTGCAGGAAGCCTGTGTCTATGAACGTATTATTCTTCTTTACCTTTTTATTTCATTTTTCTTTAAAATTTCGCATCTATTTGTGTTATTTATTTGGATTTCTGATTGTTATTTCGTAGAATACACTCTTCCCAAACTGTATGTGAAGATGCAGTACTGTGTTTCCTGTGCTATCCACTCTCATGTTGTGAGGGTTCGATCCCGCACTGACAGGAGGAAGCGTGATCCTCCACAGCGATTCATCAGGCGCAGGGTAACTTTATACAAAAATTTGAGTGTAAATCATACATAAAAGACACTCAACATTAACCTTTGATAATAAGCTTTCATCTTTGATGAGAGATATTCCAACTTGTCTTCTGACATTTGCATACTACTTGACATTTTTGTGACCTTGTCATCAATCTTTTTCAGCAGGGAGTTCTGTGCCTGGGCATTTTCTGTCTGCCAGTTTAGAACTTCTTCTGCTTTGCTGAGTACCTTCAGTTTCCCGTCAGTACCAATTTCTGATGGAATGATGGTGGGTTTGGTAGAGTATTTGGTGTTAGGATCTATTTTTCTCTCCAAAGGAGGGAACTCTACATCTCGTTCTGCTTCTGAAAACATGAAGCATGGTGTAGGTTTAGAGGTAGGTTGGAAAACCTTTTCTACCTCTCCTGAACATCTTGGTGAGACCATGTTGAAGGAATTACGGTTAGTGTTATGATTTCTTCCCCAAGATTTGTTCTGTGAATCAGATCGCCTGTTGGGACGAGGAGGTAACTTGCAGGGCGTATTCCATCCCTCATCATCACTATCCGATTCACTATTTTCCTCTTCACTGGTATCTCCTGAGTGCATCCAGCAATCACACTCAGGATCGCACATATCTAGGTTGACATTCCAAATAAAGTGGCCATTGATGCGGTCAGTATAGACCACGTTCCCATCTGCTTTGACTGAGTCTATGGGAATTCTTCCTTCTTTGACGAAGGGTTCCAGCATCATGGTTTGGAAATTTGGTCCTGAGGATTTTTCTGGTTGTTGAAAAATCGTCCAAACTATTCCGTCAGTATATCGACGAAAGGTTGCCTGGTCTGTCTGTATGGGTTTCCCATGATGTTTATGAAGATTTTCATAGTTGGTTACCCACTGCAAGGGGATGAGCTCCTTCAGTTGTTCCCTAGTAATATTTCTAGGGACTTGGACAATAGAAGGGTTTTCTTCTGCCTGGTTGGCCAGGACAAACAGGGTGTTGTCATTACTGCTGGGCAGGGCTAGGTTCACTGCATGAGACTGTAATCTGTAGATGATTTGGTAGTGGAGTGTGGCACAAACAGCATATCAGAGATCTGAGCTGCTCTAGTGATCTGAACTTGGACCTTCAATCGGTTTGGCACGGTAGGGTCTTTTAGACTAACATTATAATCGAGAAATAATGTTAGTACAACACTTCCAGCATGAAGTGTAGTTAAGACTGTGCCTATCACAGCATTTTCATAATGGAGGTAACTAGTGTCTAGCAAGGAAATCCTTGCAGAGACAGGAAGTCCACGTCTTCCATGGAGTGTGAGCATTAATCTAATGGCTCCATAGTGAAGATGATTATAGCCATCAGCTCTCCAGTGCCTGATAAGTTCTCTGGGAATCTCAATAGTGACATATTGTTCCTCAGAGGTGACCATTAAAGAACACTGTTCCATCTTGGAAGATTGAACGTATTCTTTCTCATGAGGTCGTTTGGATCAGATCAATTGGGTGATAGATCTCACAGTAGATGTCTGTCTTTTAAATATGTTGTATGGGCTCAAAAGGGGGGCTGTGCTTTCAGAAATCTGAGCGTCTTCAGGAATATAGGAATATTCTACAAGGTTTTCTATCTTTGGAGCTAAGGTTCTGGAGACATGGTTTGGTAAGGATAAGGGAGTATTTAGAAAAGTGGGTTGGGTTTCTGAGTTTGATTAAGTAAGGATTGGATTTTCCATGATAAGAAAATCTCTCCCCTACTCACTCCTTCCTCTATAATAGTATTATATTCTCAGTCAACGAGTTAGGCTCTGATACCACTATGCCTGGAGCCTTAGAGACATATAACTCACTTACCGTCGACGTCATATAAGAACTTGCTTACTTTTATTTAAATATATAAAATTATATTTAAAATTTTTACAAATAAATATTTTTAAATATATAAATTATATTTTAGACTTATGATGGATAATTTATATTGTGATAGGAGATTATTTTAATTGTTGATAATTTATTTTAATTTAATTTATAAATAAATATGATAATTGAAAATTGAATTAATTAGATACGAAGTTAAAAAATTTCTAAGAAGTCTCAATGTAAAAAAAACGCCTAAAAGTGAAATTGTTCTAGTTAAACAGAAACTCCTAAAAAATATTTTCACACAAAATAATCAGGTCTTATACAAGAGCATATAGGTACTACTCCTTTCGTTTAGAAGCTATCCAAACAATTTTAGTTTAGATGATTTTGATTTATTATTTTAATATGAAGTGGTTAATTGTCATCCTTTTAATTTGTTAATGAAACAAAAAAATTATTATTAACACAGCTTTTAAAATATTTATTACAAACTTGATAAACTCACTATAATTAAATTAAATAAATTTATATGGTTGACACATAAATTATTTATTTTATATTTAAATATATTATTAGTCTCTCAAGTATTATAATTATGCGATTTTGATCCAACACGTTTTAATTAAATGAATTAAGTTTTCAAGTATATAAATTATACAATTTTAGTGTCTAATCTTTTGTTAAAAATATAATAACTTTTTTAATATGACACTGGCGAGTGACATAATAGATGATGTGACATTGAGGAATTACATCCATATAAAGACATATTGTTAATGTGGCGAAGGAAGTAAACAATGACGTAACATGATGATGTAATATATGAAAAAAAAATAGAAAAAAAATGATCAAATTTAAAGATAAGATTTGAATCTATCATCCTTCCTTTCAAAATCCACAATCAATACTTAATTATTACACTATTAAATTTCTTTAATATATAAATAAAATTTATAATATATATATATATATATATATATATATATATATATATATATATATATATATATATATATATATATATATATATATATATATATATATATATATATATATATATATATATATATATATATATATATATATATATATATATATATATATATATATATATATATATATATATATATATATATATATATATATATATATATATCTTTATTCAAAATCAAAATTACAATATTTTAATTACAACTAAACAATATATGCATATAATTTTTTAATTTTTCAGAATTACAATAACAACACTAAGGTTTCATAGATAAAATCATGTACATACTACTAGAACTCCCTACCGATAAAAATCTTGTAATTCTAGAATGACAAAATAATTAGTCATATTTCTCATGGAGTTAGAACATTATATAATTCACTTGCAAATTTATGAAACTAGGATAGAGCAATACACTACATTTATTACAAGGACTAAACAAAACATGGTGTAAATGAAAAAAGGAAGAAAAAAAAAAAGATAAAACTACTTTGCCATATCACATAAACCATTTAATTGGTTGTTTTAATCGGAACAACTAGCACAGGTTGAGCCTTCTCTAAGGTTAGTCCAAACTTGTCATCCATATTCATATCATGTGGTTTGACACCACCCTGAAGCTCCCAATCAAAGGAATTGATAAGTGAACCCAACATTAAGAACAACAATCTTATGGCCAATGGCAAGCCAGGGCATATTCTCCTCCCACCACCAAATGGTGTGAGCTCAAAACTCCTTCCTCTAAAGTCAATTTCTGACCCCAAGAACCTCTCTGGTGAAAACAAACAAGGATTGTCCCATAAATTTGGGTCTCTACCAATGGCCCACACATTAACTAACACTTGTGCGCCCTTTGGGATTGTGTATCCATGCATCTTCAACTCCACTTCAACTTGTCTAGGTAGCAAAAGTGGAGCTGCTGGGTGCAACCTGAAAGTCTCTTTCACTATTGCTTGCAAGTAAGGGAGTTTACCAATGTCTGATTCTTCCACAACCTTACCTTTGCCTATACTCCTATATAGCTCTGCCTTTGCCTTTGCCATGATATTCGGGTTATGAAGTAACTCAGCCATTGCCCATTCTACTGTAGATGTTATCGTATCTGTTCCTGCCACAAACAAGTCCTACCAAAAACCCATAATCAGCTAGTTGGATATTTTTATGACGGTTAAAGGCCAAATGATTAATTCAACTTATCATTAACTTTTGTTGATAATCAAACTCATCTTGAAACATCCAAACATTATAATTTCTTAGTGTAGTAAGAAGACTAGTGTGAGAAGATTTAGAATTATTAACTATATAGCAGTAAGGGGAAAAGAAAGGAAATAGTAATACCACTGACAAACGTTCAATCTTATCCTTATACATTTCTTGATTGTTGTCTTGACCATTGTTGAGAATAGCATCTAACATGTCATTTTTGGTGCAGTAAGTAGCATCTTTCCTTTGCTTCAACCTTTGGTCAACCAAGCTCTTGAATATGGTCAACAACTTCCAAAAGTAATTACCCGTGCGCCTTCTGATGCCATGAGGGTCAACCACCTTCAACACTGGGAAACAATCTGCCAAATTTGGCCTTCCAACCTCCTTCATGATATTTGCCACTAACTCCTTGATTTCTCCTGCCTTATTTGTAGAGTGAACCAAATCCTTTGAGTAAATCGTGTTTGACAACAAGTTAATGGTTGTCTTAAAAGCCAACCTTCCAATATCCACTGCTTCACCCCTCAAGCTGCTTTGGTGGATGTCACTGAGAAGCTCCTTAACCTTGTTGCGCCTAAGCCCTTCACTGGCAACTAAGTTCTTGTTAGAAAACAATAGGCCATTACATAATTTTCTCAAGTCTCTCCAGCGATGTGAGACTGGAATGAAGGGCAAGCCGTACTCATCATGGTTAGCACCTTTCATTGCATCAGGGATTTTTCTGTTTGATAAGAACTGGTCATGGATTAGGAGAACCTCTTTGGCCATTTCTACTGAGGACATCACTATGGTGGTGATTTGGCCTAATTTGAGGCTCATTATTGGGCCATAAGTGTTTGCTAGAGAGGCCAAGGTTTGGTGGGGCTTGGCACCTAGTTGGTGGAGATTTCCAACTATGGGAAGACCAATAGGTCCTGGTGGGAGCTTGTCATTTGTTTTGCTTCTATTTGGAAATAGCAGTGAAGTGAGGGCTTTCATAATGATGATGGTTAAAAGAAAGAGGAGTATGCAAGTGAATGTGCCCATCTCATGTGGTAAGGTGGGGGCAAATCAACACAAACTAGACATAGATTTGCACGATGCACGAATTAAAAAGAATTATATAAGTTTTATATATAATGAGCATAAATGTCAATTAATAATGATTATTAGGTTTTGACAAAAACAATTTTTTTAATAATGATTCATAATTAGCATTAATATTAATATTAATTATTTTTTAAAATAGAGAATTTAATCAAATTAAATTTCTTAAATAGTAAATTAAAATTAATTAATATTACTTCATTTTTATTTATAACTAAAATTAATTTTTTTTGTAACTGAAAGTTTAACAAAATTTAATCTCTTAGTTAATAAAATCATTAATTCATATATAATGGCATATTAAATGTAATTTACATTATAATTTTGGCAAAAAAAATGTTTTTATTTTTGGTATTTTATTTTTTTATAGCAAACAATTTAATTAAATTTCATCTCTTAATTATTAGTTAATATGATTATTTATATAATTATTAATTTATTAATTAAATATAAGTTTAAGTTATTTGTTACTCAATACAAATATAGAAGAACAATAAAAATAATATTATAGATAAAATGTGTGACAAATTGAGAATAGTGGGAGAAGGAGGAAAATTAAAGAAAGAGGATAAGAGATAGATTAGATAGAATATAAATATATAATATAAAGGATAGAAGAGAAAAACAAAAGGAAGTGAGAAAAGTAGTACCATGATGAAATAAAAATTAGACAATAGAGAAATGAGAAAGAAAAAAAATGAAGAAAAAAAAGTAGTATCTTTTTGATGACGATGATGATGAAATAAAAATTAGACAATAGAGAAATAAGAGTTAGATTAAATAGAATTTGGATAAATGTAACATATAGAAAGTAAAGGAAAAATATGATAGAAGATAGAAGTTTAGAGAATTTGTCACATAAACTGATATGATACATTTAAGTTATGAACTCAATTTTGCATACATAAAACATTTCCGATAGGTACTTAAATACTAAAACTGACTAATTCTTGGTTAGATAAATCAAACTGTAAAATATGACTAAGGTCATAAGCAAACATCATTTGCTTGTACAACTTTTTAACCAAACTTTTTTTTAAACATAAACAACTTTTAACCAAATTTACAAGTAAAACAAAAAATTGCAAGAACTTTAAAATATTCACTACTATAGGATGCATATTCTACATCAGTTTTGTGAAGTTATCTACATCGGTTCTAAAATCGATGTAGAATAGAGCGACTTAGAAAATGTATACATTTTTACATCGGTTTAAAAAATGTAGATTATACATAAATCTACATCGGTTCTCTTGAGAACCGATGTAAATATATGCATAAATTTACATCAGTTCTTAGGAGAATTGATGTAGATTTATGTATAAATTTACATCGATTCTCAGGAAAATCGATGTAGATTTATGCATAAATTTATAATTTTATATTCTTTCTAATTACCTGTAATGAATATATATATACATATATATATATATAAATTTTAGACAAAATACGATAATCTACAGAAACAAATTATAATATACATACTTATGTATAAATTTTAATGAAACAAATAAATATTTATGACACCTATCAGCAACATAACCATAAAAATGAAATAGAAATCCAAATGTGATAGGAAAAATAATTCCAAATATGATAATCCCTACAATAATCCTCTTAATTATTTGAAAAATATTACACTAATATTCCTTAAACATTACATTAACTCTCTTAATTATTTGAAAAATATAACATTGTGGTAAAGAGGTTCATGAAAACGTTACAAAAAAGAAGGGAGTTTTGGTGCAATTCTCGCTCTTGCTACTCCAAATTGTCCTAAGCCTCCAAGAACCGCGTGGAATAACTCCAAGTTCTTCTGCCAAGAGCATGTTACGAACTCTCCTTTTCCTGAACCACACCAAGTAGATGACAAAAACTATTTATTAAATTAAACAATTTTGATACATGCATTCGTCAATTATAAGATGTAACATTTTCCATGTTGCCATTTCAGTCTTTTAATTATATGAATTAATTAATTGACCAAAAGTAAATGACTAGACCAACATAAAGTTAATCAATAATAGAAAACTATGACCGTGGACCTGGTTCTAATTCTAATCCCATGGAAACGTTTGCATCACTCACCCATATTATAGAAAAAGACTATTATGTTTGAGTTCAACAACCACACTAATTAACTAGGTATGCATAAAACATGTTAGATTTAAACTCGATGTAGAATATGTAACGACCCGCACTAACAACTAGGGTTTTTGTGAGTCGAAGGTCAACACCAAAAGAGTTCGCGAGAGTGTTATGTCGAGAGGGTTCAGTTGCGTGTGATGAATGTCGTAGAAATTTGCTTTCACTTCTACATTGGTCAGATTTAAACCTGATGTAGAATATGTAACGACCCGCCATGGTCCCTACACTTTGTAGAATTGCATACTACTACTAGTGAACTAAGAGAATATAGAAACTGAACAACTCATACATACAGGTGTATAAATATAAATATAATAACTACGTTTCTATGTACAAAATATAGCACATCACCATATATGTACAGTCATCCCAAAATCATAACCTCCTAGTGTCGGTCAAGCACACACAACAGTTACCCAAGAAGGTAACTCTGACACAAGAATAAAACTCCTTCTCTCATAGCAGTCATCTCAACTCTAAGCTAGCCCTGACCTGCTCCCACACAAGGTATGATCATCGCAGTCCATGAACATGGAAACAAAAGGGTAAGCTAGAGTTCAAAAATCAATCATACAAGTACAAAATATCAATCTATACTACCAATTCACCCAAATCAAGTCCCACAGGAACTTCCATCTCAATCATTCATCAATTAATAAAACATGAAGTCAAACACCATGCACCTCATCATCATAGCAATCATGATATGCATGCAACTCATGACACATATCAACGCATATCAATCATCTAATGCGTCATCACACATACACCTAGAAGATCTCCCTAATAGCAGAGCAGCATAAGTGACATCCCATCCTACCGAAACCACCCCAACCGTTTTCACGCCCAATGCGCCCGCTCGGTCACAGCTAAACAGGATATAAATCCTCACTCGAGTTTACTCTGATGATTTCACTTACACAATTAGAAGTTCGGTTCCATCGTCAGGTATAGCATAGCTGGGTACAGGCTTACCACGACCTTTACATGCATCACCAAGTCACTCGTGGGGTTCGTCCATCGACTATCCGCAAGGAACCACACACCTTCCCCAGTACTTGGTTAAGGGAATAACCCTCGACCTTATACTCCGCTCCAACACTAGCTAAGGACTTAGAGGAGACTCACCCAAACCAGTGGCCTACTTGAGCACCACTCTCACCCAAAACCAATGGCCTACCGGAGCATCACTCTCATAATCAGTGGCCTATCCAAGCACCACTCTCAAGAGACTCTATTTGAACTCTTCCATTTTGAAAATGTTTCCCTCTCCTAAAGTCCTAGGCTAGACACATGCCATAAGGCATCACATGCAATAATGCATCATACATCATACATGGCCTACCCACCATCACGATCAATATCATTCTCATATGAACATATACACATGTCATATCATATTTAAACATTCATACATATCTTCACTAAGCATATATACATATGAATCAAACACCACCACACATCATATATCATACATACATGATCAAAACTTCAACTTTAAACATGCATAAGCATCATTTTCAATCCAAAAGTATCAAACCCACTCATATCTAAAGCAACCAAATCACGCCCAACCTAACATCTAACCCAAGAGCTCTAAGCTCTTCCATGCCCGACGTGCTCAACTTGCTCCCAGCCTAGACCCAACCAGAGAGTCCTGAAACTTATCGATGCCCGGTGCGCTCAGCTCGCGCCCAGCGTCCTTGAGGTAGAGACTCATAAGAGTCTCCACACCTAGTGCGCTCACCTTGCGCATGGCGTGCTCCAAACAGAGACCATCCAGAGTCTCTCCACGCCCGGCGCACCTAACCTGTGCCCGATGCCATACCAAAAAAATGCCCTTAAAGTCACTATCTGATATCGCGCTCGGCGTGGTTCCTCTCATGGCCAGCGCGAACCCATCTAGAGACCTCCATTTCAGTTCACGTCTAGCATGACTAGCCTCGCGCCCGGCGTGAGTTTGAAATGGTTGCCTCTAATGAAGGCATGCTTGGTGCCAAGAACTGCGCCCAACATAAATCCAAATAGTAGCCTCTCCAAAACTTCAAAAATTCCCTCCAGCACCTAAAAATCAGAAAATTCCAATCACATGCAAACCAAGAAATACAATGCATGAGCTCCATACAATTCGAAAACAATCATGGATCCAACATGCATCTAACATATGCATCAAATCATCAAAAACCCTCATTTTCCCAAAACCCCGAAAAATGAGCAATTTCTCCAATCCAATCATGGATTCTCAACACTCATGCATCAATTGAGTTTCTAAACTCACATGTAACGAAACAACAAATATTCTAGCTTCCCTCACCTGAAAATTGGCTTAGAATAGCCAAGAAATGAGAAGAAGAAAAAGTTTCCTCCAAAGCTCGACTCCCAGACTTCAATCCCCCAAAAGCAAGCTTCCTAGCCTGAATTCCAAGACAAGACAGAAAGAGTTAGTGATCTAGAAGAGAAGAGGAATCAAACAGATAAATTTGGGAGAGAAATGAGCTCACTGTTCGAGAGTCCTTCTCTCTAAAATTTCTCTCTAGCTTTCTTTGAAAATGAACTTATGAAGTTCCCTTCTCAGAGAAACCCTTATATACTCTTCTCTCTAAAGTCAACTAAACTCTGAAATCTACTCTCTACGTTACAGAATAATTTTGTGATTCCATTTCTACATCGGTCAGTGACAAAATCGATGTAGAATTTTTCACATCTATATCGTTTCTCCACAAAACCAATGTAAATATGCTTACATCTTTTATTTATTTACAAAACTGCCATCGCGTTTCTTATTTACATCGTTTCTATTGAAACTAATGTAGATATAATGATGTTAAACA